CAACTTGTGTGACTTAGCTTTTTGTCAGTCCACTCAACACTCTCTTTTGCCATGTCATCAGATAACTGACGGTTGGTGACTAACGGTGAAACAAATCATAAAGTTAGTGGCTAATATGAAAGAAAAGTAATTTGGGTGGCAAACGTGAAAGAATTATGTAATTTGAGTGACCAAATGTGTAATTTAGTCAGAAAAATATGCAATTTTAATGATTAGAAGTTAAAAAATCAGGCATAGTTTACCGCTTTGTACAACTATTAACAATATGCAAGGTAGTCGAACGCCTTGGTAATGTACAAAGGTTGACATTTCAACGCAATGTCAAGTTTCATTTCAGAATTCAGGGAGCACGAAATGTCAAGTTTCATTTCAGAATTTGGGTATGCTCCACAAAAATAAAAACATTCATACAAGACCAAAATTCTAGCTATTGTTAAGATCTTTTTTTTTATGAATCGGTGAGTTCTTCATTCATCAAAAGAGGTGTTAGCAACTGCCTTACTAACTAGGCTCACCAACCAAAAAAAGGTATTTACAGTATGACAATGAAAACAAACATATCAAAACCGAGCCTCTGAGACAAACTAACTGGCCCAAAAAATGAAACCATCTGCTTACCCAGCACACACTCAACCTCAGCTTGAATAGTTTTCAACAATACCTGATATTCCTTGACCTTCCCTGCATACAAATGTCTACATCTTTCCCTCCAAACATGGCTCACCCAAGCCTGCAGATGAGACGTCCTGATTCAGCAGCTTCCGTCGATACACCAAGCTTCATAGCCATGAAAGCCATCAACTCCTCCCAGTTATGCACCACAGGGGCCTGTAAAAATCTGCAGAAAAGATAAGCAAACAGCTGCTTCGAGAATGAACATTGAACATATAAATGTTCCCTATCCTCAATCCCTGAATTGCAAAGACAACAGGACAAGTCACCCGAAAAGCCCCACTTCAGCATCTTCCGCTTTGTGTTTATGCTCCCCCTAACCACCAGCCATGTGGGCCCAGTTGTCTGTCTAAATCCAAAATTAGCAGTGCCGTAAAATGATGCAAGTCTAGTAGGTAAGCCCAGCTTCTTCCATAAAATGGGCCTTAATAACACTACAGAACGACAATAGTTTATTAGCTCGAATCTGAGAATGTTGTAATATTAGAAACTGCACTTGTGTCAATGGAAAAAGTGCCAGTGGGGAGTCCAAGTACTACTGCTAGAATATGTCGAGGCCAGCTAACCAAAAAATGCAGTGGAATGGAATGAGCGAATCAAGCCAAGCAGTTGAGGGAGGGACAGAAGTTGCAGCCGCAGATTTCAGAGCTCATCCATTATAGTGAAACCATTGCTCTTTCATTTTCTTGTATAAACATTGTTGTTTGTTGTAGGCTTGTAGCTAGTTAGCTACTTTGCATACAATAGATACCGTATCTGGATGAATAATAAAACCCCATTACATCTACGATTGTCTCTGCCTTTTAGCACTCGAAGAAGAGTGGGATTGCACTAGGTTGAGAATGAAATCACAAGTCCATCCAGTTTTCTTTGCAAGACATTCATATCCTCTTCATCAACAATCCCATTTAGCATCTTGGTTAACTCTGCTTAACAACAAAAAGACAGAAATCTAAGTACAAAAATTTAAGCAGCTGACATGTATAACTGTTGTCTTTAGACACAATTGTTAGCATAATCTGAACGCAACAACACACCGCATTTAGAAATGCGATGCTATACTTCGCTAGGTGTGTTGGAAGATTCTGTACTTCTTATGTAATTGTTATGCATTCCATATTATTGTTCTTAATTCTTATAAATACTTGACCACCTTTCACGCGGCAGGTAGATGAAATACTATACCTTTTCAAGAGCCTACAGGCTACAGTTGCTGCACCAACCGGTAGCTACAAACATAAAGAGACTATAAAATATAGAATGAAACAATTCCGACATGTAGAACATCAAATCTAACCAGAAAAGAAAAAACTAACAAAAGAAGGAAGCAGCTGCCATGTAGCCCCACTGGTTTTAATAGCCAAAAAAAAAACTCATATCACATCCAGTAAATCTACTGAATACAAAACCCAAAACACATTGGATCTAGTGACCAAATATACATTCTCGCAACCTTGATGTGGGTTTCAATTCCAATGCCAAGTTCTTAAAAATCATAAATCCACCAACTATGAAAAGTATAAAAGAATTACAGCTTGAAGGCTCACTCTCCTAGCTGTTATTACTCATTAGCCACTGCACAATCATTCTCCAGATGCTGCCCCACAAATGCCAAAATGTTAAGTTCACCCATTTTTCACCTTCCTTCTCATTGTCCACCTGCCTGCAAACAAGCTTGGTCATTTTTGTTTTGAAAATATATTGTATAAGAGTTCGCCTAACTAGAATACTTAAATAAGAGCATTACATAAGGATCCCATACCATACCATAGCTTACAATAACTTCCCAGGACCCTTCAGATTCGTTAGGCAAAGTCTCTACGTACCAAGGTTTCCAAGATTCAACGGAGAGTGTGCAGAGCGAGGGACTACGCAGGGAGGGCAATGCAAACTTTCTTCCGCTTTGGATCGTCTGTGTCGGCAGTCGGCACAACACTTCAATGGAGACAGAGGGCCGCCTGGAACCAAGGAATTGTCGTTTTTGTTGGACACCTAGGAGAAGGAATACGGTGAAGGAGTTAATTGGAGGCGCGTAGTAGAGACTGAAGTTCGGATCGACGACGGCAGAGTTCGCCGGAGAAGTTTTTTTGTTCACACTCAAGGAAGACGACTGGCGCTTTTCCCTTTCCCTTCGTTTTTTGTTACGGGAGAAACGAAAAAGAAAACAAATTCATTTAAGATAAATCAAATTTTCAATTAATTTATGGAAAAAATAACAAGTGGCCAAACGACTGTGCAGACGGAATCTCTTTTACTAACGACGGTCTGGGTAGCTTTTTGGGTCATCAGGTTTGGGCTCCGATTATGTAAAGTTAGCCCATAAAACATCAGTTCCACGTGGACCAATTAGTATTTGCGTCACCGGTGCCGCACTTTTTATAGCGGCACCATAGTATTGGCCTAGTTTATTTGAAAAAATCCCAAGTCACACATGTTTTTAAAAAAAATTCTCAAAATACACACGTTATGAAAATAATTCCCAATCTACGCATGTTTGGGCCATCACCACCGTCGACGAAGACAGTGATTGCATCACCGCTGTCGACGAAGACAGTGATTGCATCACTGCAGTACACGGCCGCGGTGAAGGCCTGACCTGCTTCGAAACTTTAAACAAACGTAACTTTGTGCTCGGTTATCCGATCGTAGCAAAATTTTTTTGATTCCGCATAATTTTTCAAGATCTTGCAAGCCGCAAATTTCCGTAGGCGGTTTGGTCCCGCCTTCGTCTCGAAAATATGTCGTTTGCTACCCCGGACGAGCCTTTTTTCGATTTTGTCAAACTTTGAACGACCATAACTTTGTGCTCCACAATCCGAAAATCATGAATTTTTTTTATTTCGCATAACTTTTTAAGGACTACAATTTTTAGTAGGAGAGAATTTTCAAAAAATGAATTATTTATGGATATAAGGGGTTTTGGGAATAACTTTACCTTCCTTTTCAGGAATCCAAGTACATTCCGAAAATATGTCTATGATAAAAATTGTAGTCCTTAAAAAGTTATGCGAAATCAAAAAAAATTCATGATTTTCGGATTGTGGAGCACAAAGTTATGGTCGTTCAAAGTTTAACGAAATAGAAAAAAGGCTCGTTCGGGGTAGCAAACGACATATTTTCGAGATGAAGGCGGGACCAAACCGCCTACGGCAATTTGCGGCTTGCAAGATCTCGAAAAATTATGCGGAATCAAAAAAAATTTCGCTACGATCGGATAACCGAGCACAAAGTTACGTTTGTTTAAAGTTTCGACGCAGGTCAGGCCTTCACCGTGGCCGTGTACTGCAGTGATGCAATCACTGTCTTTGTCGGCAGCGGTGATGCAATCACTGTCTTCGTTGACAGCGGTGATGCAATCACTGTCTTCGCCGACAGCGGTGATGGCCCAAACATGCGTAGATTGAGAATTATTTTCATAACGTGTGTATTTTGAGAATTTTTTAAAAAAACATGTGTAACTTGGGATTTTTTCCTAGTTTATTACTTTGGTTTTGTTCTGATGAGTCACAAGAAACTTCTGTTTGGCTAGCATTAGGCCCAACCACACCCCGATCCGGTACAATAACCGGTTTAAACGAATTAAAATGCCTGTACCATACTAACCACTAACCACAACGGAATAACATAGTGATTGATCGTCTTGTCAATTTAACCACGATACTAGAGGGTTTAATCCCTATTCACGAGAACAGAGTTTACTTTGTGTTCAACCATATACGGATAATACCGCTTCATACGATCACTCATACCATACTATCAAATTACTCAGCGTCACATGTCATTACGTTTACAGGACATGGACTATTATTCCGATAACCCACTTCGCGTTGTTTTCGAGGCCAATCAACGTATCTACATCCTTAATTTGTTGCCAAGTGTTGTATATAATAATTAAAAAAAAACTCGCGACGTCAAAGAAAATCAAAGTTATCGAGTAAAATATCACGTATGGTATTTTCTTTCATTTTTCAATTAGCCATAATTACTACTCAACTACGTACGTTACATAGAAATGAAATGAAGAAAGCCAAAATGTAACTAAACGACCAAAGCGGCATGTCGTATGTCTCCATCGAATTAACCGTAACCGGCAAAGATTCCCCACAGAAGATTCTTGGGTAGAACCGTAAATGACAAGGATTTCACCTTGTAATTACTACAAATTTCCTACCACTACGGCCGGCACATTTTCAGAATCGGCGAACGAAATTTCGTCGTTTTACTTCTTTCATTTTCGTCGTTTTGGGGGGCATCAACGTACGTAGAAGTTGTTTAGTTTTTACCACACTCATATATAACCATCACTAGCATTCCTCCATTGGATCATCATCAAACCAAAGCTCGACACTAATTCCTATAGTGTGTTCAGGCTGAGTAATTAATTAGATCGAGCATTGGGTTGTCGAAACCACAAAATTCGAGAGAGAGCAGTCGTGCCTGTCTTCGCGAGTGTTCGATTCGATTTCTTCACTACTCTTTTTATAGCGAGGAGGGAGCGATAGGAGGGGGTGTCGGAGGCCCTATCATGTCTGAATCGTTCTCGGTGTTCGACGCCTGCATCTCGATTTTCGATATGGAGAAACAGAGGAGGCCGTACCATAGGTTCTGCGACTGTGCCCTTCACAAGCTGAAGAGGTCATCTAGCCTTAAACATTCTTCTTCTAGTGGTAGTAATGATGATGGTAGCAACATGGCCATCGCTTGTTTGAGGAGGTCGGTCACATTCCCGGGGGAGAAGAGAACGGCGGCGAAGATGAACCGCCGTGGCCGATTGTGTTTCGTTGGTTGGGTCGAGACGACGTCCAAGAAGCGTGGGGCCGCCGCCGGCGAGAATAACGTGGGCACAAATTTTTTGATTGAGGATGAGAGTTAAAGTGTTCTTTTTAAGTTGAGATTAGAGTATTCTTTTTCTTCATATCGTTGGAATCTGTATGTTATGATTCTTAATTAATTAGAAGAATTTTATTGTACATGTTAAATTTGATCCCTGTCATGGATTCAAAATCATAAGATGTGTAATTAAGTGGAAATGAAATGTCCATATTGTTGTATGACCTCGTTTTTTTTTATAAAGGTGAAATAAGTTTAGATTACAAGAGGAAAACAACAAGAACAACATAAAAGAATAGGAGGGCGCCAGAATCCAGCGCCACCAACCAAATACAGAAGCGATAGCCGAACAACTAAAACAAAAATGACAGACATGTATGAACTCGTTTTGTATACAAATTATTGTTTGGTACTAATGAATTTCTCGGTTAAGGAAAAAAAATGATGAGCCTTAGACTTACTTGTACATTAACCCTAGCTTATGCAAACGATACAAGATTTCCAACTAATGACTGTGAAATTGTATGCGAGACGAAATGTTTTTTTGAGAGTTTGTTCATTGTCACACTTTCTATGTTTTTTAAAGCTTAGATTGTGGATGATTGGGTAGATGATTTGATGCCAAAATGTTGAGGTGAAGTAAACTATCATTGGCTTTTGTTGTTTTGATTCTTTAGGACGATGAGCGGTTGAGTATTTTTTATCATGTTTGATTGAAGTGTTTGACTTCGAATGGTTTCTCACTATGATCACTGGAACTCTTTCTCGATGAATGAAGGTGACAATGTTATTTTCTCATAGTTCATTCAAAGTCTTTTAACATCAAACGAATTTCGTCAACACCTAACTTACACTCTTCTTAGTGATGGTTGTAAAGTATAGATGCTCCGACGAAGATGCATATAATCCTGATAAAAAATATTCAGGTTTATAGAATACTTTTTAACAATTAATTAAGCAGAGACTTTGCACGTAGGGGTCGTTTGAATGAGTTATTCGTATGAGTTATTTGCAATGAGTTATTTGGGCCCAAATAACTCATTTTGAGTTATTTGGGTGCAAATAAATAATCCATTTTTCTACAAAAGTTATTGGTGAGTTATTTATACTTGGGTTCGTTTGGATGGATTAATTGATTGTGTGGTATTTTTAGGTTGAAATAACTCATAAATTGCAAGTGTGGTATTTGTGTGTTATTTGGAAAATTTGAGGATTAAATTGTCTTGTTTGGATGAACCAAATGGATGAATTGTTTTATATGTGGTATTTGATAAGAAAAGTAAGAAAATACCATAATGCCCTCTTCATCTGGTTTAACCCATATGAAATCTCCAATTATTAGCGTCAATCTCTCGTTCTATGAGAACATATTGCTGCTACTGCTCGATTACAATGGATTGCAAACCATTCACAAAAGAAATAAAGCAACACATTCACATATCACCTCTATTGCTCGATTTCAACAAAAAACAATTCACAAACGGCTGCAATTAGTCATGTTGGGCAATGGGCATCTTCTATTGAAGGCAATGAACTTGGAATCGGAGCGGCAAATTGATTATTTTTGGGCATGCCGTTGTACTGGAGGGAACGAAAATGACAACCGATCAAGGCTTCGACCCTTCTCCTTCTATTTTAATGTTGTTACTCATCGCCTTCTTATGCGGTGTTCTTCTTCTCCACAACTTTGCTCTACATGCAGCCCCTATTTAGAATAACTCGATTTTGTGGTATTCTCAAATAACTCGGCACACAATACCACATCAACCATAAAATTTGCCAAACGAGTTATTATAGACCAAATAACTCAATGTGAGTTATTTGGCCCAGAATAACTCATTGAAAAAACTCATCCAAACGACCCCTTGAGTTAATTTGAAACAACTCATTAATGAGTTATTGTCAATACCTCATAGGGGGTAGTTATTATGAAATAACTCACAAATACCACATTCTCATTTTGTGAGGAATTCCACTTTTATATTAACTCGTTGGGTTAATACCTTATTTTGGCCCGAACTATGACCATATAATCAACTTTGGACCGTGGTTTCAAAAATTAACATTCTGGCCTCAACTATACAACATATAGACTCAATTGGCCCGACACACGCTTTAATTGACGGTCAACACTACATGTCATTGCCTTGTCAGCCTAAAAATCATTAAAAAGTTCAAATTATTTTTATAATTTCTATTATTTATCATTTTCAAATTAACCAAAAAATAAAAGTTTAAAATAATTTGATATCTTTTAATTTATAAAATTTATCATTTTCAAATTCCCAAAAAATAAAATTATTTTTAATTTTGTATGATTTTAGTTTTTGATTAATTTGATAATGATAAATAATAGAAATTAGGAAAATAATTTGAATTTGATTTTTTTAACGATTTTTAGGCTGACAGGACAATGACATGGCGTGTTGACTAATGGTCAATGGTGTTGACCATCCAAATTGACGGTCAAACCATGTCTCGGGCCAATTGAGTCTATATGTTGCATAGTTGAGGTCAGGATGTTAATTTCTGAAACCACGGGCTAAAGTTGATTATATGGTCATAGTTGAGGCCAAAATAAGGTATTAACCCTAACTCGTTACACAGCAACTCATCCACACTTTTGTATTGTTGTGTCATCGGGGAATCACTTGAGAGATGTCAGCAACATTATAAGACCAAATCTCTTGGCGGAATTTGGAATTCGTGGCCGTTACGGGTTCCAATCTTACAGAAAATGCAGGTTTTTTTGGGGAAGCCATTTTAAGAGCTCCATTTCTCAAAGCCGATGCAACTTCCAACATTGTTGGCCTGTCGTTGGGATCTTCTTGAACGCACAACAATGCCACTTGCAAACATGTCATCAGCTTACATTGCGAAGAAGAATCGTCCAATGAGGAGTCACAAAATTCCATGCCTTCCCCTCTTCTCCATGAGTCATATGCCTACGATGAAATCACAAGAATTTATCAATCAATCTCAAACTTTTAGTCGAATAGGAAGGGAGAATAAGTGGAATCATTACATGGTCTAAGAGATGCATGTCTTCATTTGGACCATAGAAATCTTGGGTCCTTTTACTACTAATAATTTGTAGAAGCAAAACGCCAAAGCTATAGATGTCATACTTTATCGAGTATATCCCATTCTTCACATATTCAGGAGGAACATATCCGCTGCATAACAAATCGTCAATGAGATAAACATTCATCTGGTGATTGAGAATCATTAATCATCATTATAAAAAATAATTATACGTCTAGAGAGAAGTGACTTACTAGGTCCCGACTATCTTATTGGTGTTAGCTTCATACAAATCTTTCATGAAGAGTTTTGCCATCCCAAAATCCGATATCTTCGGGTTCATCTCATCATCTAAAAGAATATTGCTCGCCTTTATGTCTCTGTGAATGATAGTGTAGTTGGAGTACTCCTGGAGGTACAAAAGTCCTTGAGTCACTCCTTCAATGATCCTAACCCTAGTACTCAAATCCATGGTCAACCTCTTCACGGGATCTGCACCATTATGGACATGACACATAAACTCATTCATTCCCGCGTCAAGCTAGCTCAACTAACAGATTTAAAGTACAGAAAAATGTAAGAATCGTTTACCAAAGAGATGAATATCTAAACTTCTATTCGGCATGAACTCGTAGACCAACATCTTCTCATCATTCTCAGTGCAGAAACCCACAACCCTGACCAGGTTCACATGCTGAAGTCTCGCGGTGAGTGACACCTCGTTCGTGAACTCCAGGAGTCCCTGAGTCGACGATTTCGAGAGCCGCTTCACCGCCATTTCCTCACCTCCAAGGAACACACACTAGAAAAAAAAGGGAAACAAAATTTCATGTTAGGAAACCTGTCAGGTTTCAGGGGAAGAAAGCTTTTTACTGACCTTGTACACAGGGCCGAACCCACCAGCTCCGAGCAAGTTATCGTCGGAGAAGTCGTTGGTTGCCGTTTTGATTTCGGACAAGGTGAATGCTTGGAGGCTCGGTGGAGACTCGACGTTGCCCTGGCCGCCGAACGGTGCTGATTTGGCTCGCTGCATTTTGATAAACTCTAGTGGTTTCAAAAGGGGAGATGAGGTTTTAGCATTCTGATTCTGCGATGCCCTGTTTCGGATGTAGTAAAACAGAGTGATGGCAGCAGCGGACAGAGTAATGAAGATGGCAATTGGGAGCACGATCTTCAGCAGGACCCTGTTCCTCCCTTCTTCAATTTCAATGCAAAATTTCAGCAATTGTACTGCTGGAGTAAAAAACTTTCTACTTTGAGTTTACTATCTAAGTTTGATTCCGTCCATATCAATTCGGTAAGATTCAGTTCAGTGTGTGGACCGAATAATTGCCTACTCTTACCACTAACTTATTGCCATTATCTGAGAGGAGAACTCGAGGAGAAAAAGAGAAAGAACGTACCGGCTGCTTCATGGAGCGGTTTTGCCGGCGATGAAGGACTGTTAAGGGACAAACAGCCGGAGGCGTATGCTTGATTGGAGCAATAGCAAGCGAACAAGCGCGACGACGTCTCGTTGGAACCGCACTCCCCACCGGAGTTCATACAATTGCCGCAAGCACCGTCGTATTTTCCCGTCCACTGAACCCCAAAACCCCGGTAAACCACCTCCGACATCCTACCCGCCGACCTCACCGGCAAGCTCCCCAGCTCCGTCCGATTCACCGGTAACCTAACTAGATTCCCGCACGATCCCAACCAACTCCTGACGGAATCCTTCAATCCCCCGAGCAGGTCCTCGCTCGGCAGAAAGTAATACCCTGAACCCTTGCAATTGAACTGGACTATACTTGGCGGTAGTTGAACGCCGGCAGGCGGCGGCGGGCAATCCTTGTAGAGCAGAACAAATTGAGTGTCCGGCGTGAAATCGAAGAAATCCGTATCCAAGGTGGTGTTTCGCGGAGGGAAGCAGAGGATACTACCTTGGCCGTCTCGCAGAACGGTAAGGGTCCGAGACTGTTCGTCGACTCGGAGGATCTTGAAGGGTATGCCGAGCAGGCCGATCATCGGAAACACGCCGGCGCTGCAGCTGAGACCGAGCGACGGGAGCCCGCAGTGGCGCGGGCGTTTGACCCCCGAGAAAGGGTAACCGATTCGGAAGTCGCCGCATTCGAACTTGCGGCTGCAGTTTGTATAATCTTGCGCTGTAGCGCTGATCATGATGATGGCGACGGTGCCGGAAAAAATGGAGAAA